TACTAAACATTGCCAAATTCAAAGGAAATATAAAGTAACTCTATATATTTTCTTATATGTTACCTATTTGTATTTTATAAAAAATATATGCATTATCAATAACTGACGTCATCTTTATATATCTAATTTCATCCCACTCGAAGAAATTATTATTATAGTTTTTAAGGAACAACAGGACAAACAAACACACACAAAATAGTAATAAAAATTGTATTTGTAATCTCTACCATGTAAACATGTAGCTACATATCGTATCCTAATCATACTTTTACAAAAGTAGGAAATTAAGAAAAAATCGACTGATATGAGCAATGTGCAATTTGATACCCGGGTATGTTACATCCTAACTTAACAGATAGGACACTCGAACTGGGAACCGGTAGTCAGCAGAGGTCGCCAGTTCGGGGGCCGACCACATACTTTTTTGTTGCAGTATCCGGCCATAGTACCATCCTAATACTCCTCAAATATTGCGTCTAAACTGCGCCCACCATGTACCCTCTTGTATAGGCATTCCGTCACCCGTATCCAATAGCGAGGACGGGATGCTTTAAGTACTGTACCGCAAACCATAAAAAAGGCACTTTACGTAAAGATTAACGCGAGCAAAACCGCGGCAAACAGCTAGTATATTTTAAATATAACAACAATCCTTAGTAAATTAAAAAACTTAGCAATTTACTACAAAGAAATTAGTCACACGCATAGACATTAAACACCATGGATGAACTCATCGCGACTAATTAAATGTAACGAGAGAGGCGAATCAAGGGCACAATTTACGACTATCAACTGGCAGTTTTAGGGTTCCGATGCTCAATAAAAGAACCGTCATCATCATCATTTCAAGCTGTATCGATCTATCGATCCACTTCCTCGATGCCTTCCACTGTGTGCAATTCTCCACTTTTTGTGTACATTCATTTTTATTTACTCAATAACGAATCTATGAGATAATATAAGTTTTCTTGTGCATTTTAGTATGGCAAAACAGCTGACCTGATGGAAAGTGGTAACCGTCGCCTACAGACATGAATAGTACGATATTATATGTTTATCACGATGGGTTAATTAGCATGCCTTTTCATCTTCATGTATCATCACTCAATTCGCCTACCATTCCATTAGCATCCTTAAAAAAAACCGTGGGCCAATAAAGATAGAAAAACCTGAAAGAATTTTAATATTCCAATTGAACTTATAATGTGAGAGAAAAGTCTTCTATGAAACATTATTTATTTTTACGACAGCCATGTTTTTTTTTTAAATTACCTATCCCATGTCAATTGAACTGTCACGAAAATAAATGATGCTTCAATAAACGAAATCCGCCAAATCGTATGGACGCACGTGTACATACATACTCATAGACAGACGCTTATCATATTATGTATATATATATTTATCTTCACGCCAAGTTCCCTATGGGGTAACAAGAATGAATCGAGTTCAACACTCGAATAAATAAGAATTTAAGTATTATAAGTACAACGCATTCTTCATTTATTTTTTATAAATCTTTTGATCCTTACATCCGGATATTAGAGATTTTTTTTTACTTTTACATGAGATGATGATGATATATACAATGAAACACGTTGAACCCTTTCAAGTTTCATACCAAAAAGGTATAAAGGAACCCTTATGATACTACTTTATCCGTCCATCCGTCCGTCTGTCACAGCGCTATAGCTCAAAAACGATTTGAAATTTTGTATAGTTTCACATATTGTCGGCGCACATATATTGCAATGCAAATAATTAAAAAAATATTTTTATTTTCTTTACTAGAGGGTCCAAAGGAGGCACTCAAAATTTATAAAAATTGTCCTATTAGTCCAATTGTGGTATCATATGAAAGGTCTTCATTTATAAGTTTTAAAATAGATTTTAATTTATTTTTATGCTGAGTAATTTATTACTTTTGATTAAAATGTAAGAAAAAAAAGCTATCCAAATTATATGTGAATACGATAGAAAAAGTAAAACGATATTTCTCTAGCATGCATAATTTTTGAGAAATTATCAATAAACCTCAAAAAACAAACTTAGTTATGCGGTCTAGTTTTTTATTGCAATTATAGCCCAAAATAACAAATTAGGAATTGTAGTATGTCTAAACTATTGTAGATTATTTTTACTTACTTTAAAAAAAATACTTACTGTTTCCAAATAAAAAAAAAATCCCCTCAAAATTTTTTCAATAATCACAATGTATAATTATTATATGCGATCAATTAAACATACGGAACATCATTTTATATATCCGGCACACTGTTGACCAGTTTCACGTGCGATAACCGCAACCATCTATTGGAGTGCTTCTAAGAAATATCAACGGCCTATTATCGTATATCTTTGGCGACCTTGGTCCTAACCTTTAATGGTTACAGGTTAGTACACGCAAATATATTTTGTATTCATACGTTGTCTACTCTGTCTACCAGATCGTATTAAATTGTCTATTTATGTACTAAATTTAATGGTATTTATTTTATTTAAGACAACCCAAGCTCACATGTGGTATCCAGTCCTTAAGTCTAAGACTTTTTTATGCAACTTAGAATGGTAAACAGGCTAACGGCTCACCTGATGGAAAGTGGTAACCGTCACCTATAGACATGAGCAGTACCATGGACATAACAAAGTATAATGTTTCGCCCATGATACCCCCCCATGCGTTGCCATTCCTGAGGGCTCAGGTGTTATTCCTCTGCACCCAGTAAATTCACGCCATATCCCACCCTTCAAACCGAAACATAACCATGCAAACACAACTGCTTCACGGTAGAAACACGAATTTGGCAGAGGTGTCCAAGAAAACGACTTTTGTACAAAGTCTCCCGTTGTGTGTTCTACCGCTTGTTTTTTTTTTATAGGAGAAAATGAAATAGTGATCCCGTCTGCGCTATCGGTATACGCTAGCAAAGCACCAATGAATGATAATAGGTAACGATAAAAGCAGGTTAGTTCAGTTAGCTCATCTTGATGTATATATTTAGATTCCAGCACGATGGTTTCTAGAGAGGACTACGTGGAGGTCGACCAGCCAGAGTACATTGCTAGCAATAGGACCGGTAGTCCGTATTACTAATATTCTCCAATTAGGAGTATTTTTTTTGATAGGTGCAAATGGTATGGTAACCCCGCCTGCGCTAACGGGATACGCTGGCACAGCGCCAGTGAAGGATGATAGATAAGAATGAAAACAGGTCAGTTAGCCTATCATGATGAATTTATCAGGAATTAACCATGATAGTTTCCAGGGAGAACCGCGAGATGGTCGACCTGGTTGGGTATATTGCTAGCAATAGAATTCTCAGTCTCCATTACTAACAATCCCTTTCCCCCCCTAAAGTAGGTTAGTTAGCCCATCGTGACGAATTCAACAATTATTGACCACGATGGTTTCCAGGAGGTCGACTTGATAACGTATATTGCTAGCAATAGGGCAGTTAGACTCCGTTACTAACAATCCAGGGGGTCTTCTACCACTTGTATAACGGTTTGTGTTCTAAAAAAACTGTTTAAAATTATGCCTACAGCTATTTTTTCTTACTGCACTGCTTGTCATTGACAGGGAATTCATCGTCACACACTAGAACCTATGTAAATGGTCGCAAACAGTGCGATCCCAGAAGAAGTTTCTCTCACGAATACTCAGGCTGTGGAATGAGCTCCCTGCCGAAGTTTTCCTTAGAGACTACAGTATGGGGTTCTTCAAAATAGGGTGTATTAAGGTTTCTTTAGGATCAGCAACGCGCACGTGACACCCTTAGTGTTGCAGGCGTCCATAGGCTATAGGGACTGTTCACCTTCGTGGTATAAAAAATAATTATAATAAAAAAATAAAATTAATATACCCAGAAGTATAATTCCAAACGAGGTAGTTAGAAATCTCGCACTTAAATATACATATAGCAGCCATATCTACCAATTAGGACATGTAGAATGCATTTATAAACAATTCATTACATTAAATATCCGATTTTCCTTTCAAAATATAGAACTATTGCCAAAGAATTGAATGAAATAATATTGAACTCTAGTATTACAGAAAAGGTTGATTACTTCTGTCATTGAAATACCTTTACTAAGACACATAATTTTAATTTTCATCATGTCCTGTCTTGCCCTTTTTCTATATCTATTATTCGTAGTGTTTTATAGTATAAGAGGTAAATACATATTTTCCAACCTATGGATGAAATATTTGTATTGTATGGGAAGTCCAATGAAAACTTTGAATGGAACAAATTTACGTCATCATATATAATGCTGATTGGATTTATTGCTATACAGACAAATACATATTGGTATTAAAACACCAATATACCTGGGACGCTCCTTTTTCATGCATCACAAAAAGATGTTAATTATTTTTTTCTTTAGATTTTTCATTATTACCATCATATAAACCGTGGACAGTTAGCCAGTAGTTAGCCAACAAGGGACGATTAGTCCAATGCTGAACATAAGGTGGGGTTATGCCAATATTTCCCACGCTTGGTAGCCGGGTTGGCAACCGCAGTTAGAATTTGGTGATGTTTTAAAAGGGACGCTGCTGCCAATCCCTCGACTGATAAGTTTCCTTAGTCGCCTCTTACGACACCCACGGGATTAGAAGTGGCCCATTCTATGCTGGGACCACACGGCGTCTTTTCTTTAACTGTAGTAAACTTTTTTATATATTTTTTTTAATAATTATTTTATTAAAAAAATAAACCCATGTCGTTCATACTATTTTATATGTGCACATATTAATCAATCAGTAGAATTAATTCGCAATAAATTGAACGTATTTATATATTAATATACATTAACTATTAATATTATAAAAATATATATAACATAATTATGCAAATAGCATAGAATATCTTTATAGTAAAAAAAAATGGCTTAAATATTTCTTGGTAACCAACTTCTTGATCACATAGTACCTAAGGTCATAATTTTTATCACAAAAGAATATATAGGTAAGTAATATATAAAAAAATTACCTTGGCGTAGCTTTGATTTGTCGCTTCTGGTTTGGGCGCTGTTTCGAATAAATTTAATCTGGAGTTTTGGAAGAAATCCGTACTAGAATTTTCCCTCGAAAACAATTCCGCAGTGGAGCTCTCCCTCGTCAGCGAAGGTCGTGCTTTCACGAACGGATTATTTCTAGCGGATCTGACTTGTTTTAAAAAGTTGAATTTGGTTACGGCTTCAGGGTCCGGTGACGGCGTTGGGGTACCATCTGGAGTGGCAGACTGAGCTGGAGTTTCTGGTGGAACCGATGCCATTACTGTGTTTTTTTTTCAGTCTTCAAATAAATTAGTTATCGCAATTGAATTTTGCTGTTTATTCGAAACAAATTTAATATATAACTTTATTCTCTTATACATTCACAGTTTTTAATCATCCTTGTCTTCAGGAACTAGTGAAATTTATATTGTCGCGTTTATTCTTCAAAAATAACACAATATATTCCAATAAAATGTTACATTTTCAACGACAACCCTATGGGTTTTTTATAAACGAAATCAAACTATTATTTATTTCATGTCGAATCACAAGGCTGTATACATTATGGTCGAGACGTCAATTTTTTTATACGTAAACAGAATTCACGCATCGAAATATATATAATGTTATTAGGCGACCACGCGCGTAACAGCGCGGCGCAGGACTGTTTGAACTATGATCGAAATCGGCGCGTACGCATACTATTATAGTTTGCAAAATAACAATGTATAGATATTTTGGTGTTTTAGCACACAATTTTAGTGTATTTATTTGAATGCCTTGATACTATTTATAACTTTAATCATACTTATCCGCGACTTCTTTTTTTTTATACCACTGATGTGGCAAACAAGCATACGGCCCACCTGATGATAAATGGTTACCGTAGCCAGACTTCATCTAATAGTAGTAATAAATAAAGTACTTTCATATTATTTTGATACTCTACCTGGACTAATAGGTTCACTGTGAAATTTTGAGTGCCCCTTTTGGGCCCTAGGACACTCAAATAAAATATATTTTTTAAAATTATGTTTATTGTGTCAATCAACGTTATCTAAAACTAATCTAAATTTTAAAATGTTGAGATATAGGGCTATAATAACCCGTGTGATCCCGGAAAAGAATAGGCCAACCCCTCCTTTCCTGTAGATGTCTTAAAAGTCGACTAAGGGCCGGCGAGGGATGGGCAGTAGCGTCTTTCTAAAACAGCTCTAAAGCCTGACTGCGTTGCCAATCCGTCTGCCTAATGTGGCAACTACTGGCTAAACCTCCCAAGAGGGAGGCTATGTTCAGCAGTACTGTTCACTAAGGGCTGATATGATGATGATAATAAGGGCTATATCAAACGGAGGGACTAACAAAGTGTGCATCGTAAGGGATCTTTTATACCACTTTGCTACGGAATCCTAAAAAAAGTAATGGGTGATTCATTATTGAAGTACGTAACATATTTAATAACATGTGTTTCTCATGGTAATTACTCGTTATTATTTTGTTTGTCATTTTATTATGTACTTTTGACGTGGAAACATCTTTGCAGCAGTTATCGGACTACTAGTATTTTTAACTGACTTCCTAAAGTAGGGCTTCTTCATTTCATGTGTTTTTTTTTGCATGAAAGTGGTAGCGATAACGTATCTATCGATAGGTTTGCCGTTTGCCTAGTATAGAAGATACGTCCGCACCTAAGCAGTTATCACAGCCTATGGATATCAGCAAGTGGAAGTTAAAGTCCAATTATTTATCTCCAAATAACTAGAATAAAAATCACTAACCAAGTCTGTCTGTTTCTCCGCTTACATATTATTTATCTATATAAAATATAACTGCCAGTACCTAAGTATATGTATAAAAAAATATATTAAAGGAGTCAGTTTAAAGTCCAAACTGCAACTGCCATTTCTAATTCACGCAACGGATTATACTCGAACGAGGTTCACTCTAGTTTCACTGTTATTCGGATATTTTTTTAAGTGGTACACAATCACATAATTGCCGAAGAATGAGTAGCAGCGTCCCTTGTAAAAAACCCAACTGCTGTAGCAAATTCGCATGCCAAGCGTGGCAACTACTGGCAAAATCCTCCAAAGCCTCCCCTTACACCGTACAGTGGCACGCTGCCACTTTACGGTGGGATACCAGTGAATGAGGACAGACGAGGATGAGGTCCGGTTAGTTGGCCCATTGTATCGAATTCTTCATGCATTAAACATGATGGTTTTTAAGAGAAGTCGCGTGGACGTTGATCTAACAGGATATATTGCTAGCAATCAGACTATTTGCGATCGAATTGCGGGGAGAAATGGATTAGCAGTAATTAGATCTCCATTATTAACAATTCCTTCTCCCTCTCGTCATGCAGGTCACCATTTATCAACATCATCATGATTTCAGCTTTTAACTGTCCACTGCTGTACATAAGCCTCTCCATAGGGCCTAGGAGTTTAGCTAGTAGTTGCCACGTTTGGTAGGCGGATTGGCAACCGCAGTTAGACTTTGTTCATCGTCTGTCCTTCCGTCTGTCAAGACCCTTTTTCTTAAGAACGCGTGGAGGTATCAAGTTAAAATTAATATCATATACCCAGTTCTGCAATCTCTTAAATCAGTGAAAATATCAAGCTTCTAAATCAACGCAATTAAAAGATACGGTCGTTTATGTTTCATTCATTTCGTATATTTTAACATTTGCAAAAGGTATCAAAACCTATAGGGTACTTCCCGTTGACTTAGAATCGCGAAATTTGGCAAGAAGCAATGTCATGTAGCACAAGTAAAGGAAAACATCCGAAAACTGTAAATTTGTGGTTATTTCACAAACAAAAAAATTAAACTTGATGATTTTGTACGGAATCCTCGTTGTGCGAGTGCGACTCGCCGTTAAAATACTTTTTTTTGGAACACAATCTTTCATTATCTTTCAAAATTACTAGTACTTATACGTAGAGCTGACGATTTCGTTTTCACCCTATGTGTTTACATTCTCATCTTACCATAATAATAGCCATTTAAATATTGTCTATAGTGACAATTTATGGCTGATCACCTTCCATATGACGTCATAGTCCACGTGGGTCGTGCGTAACATAACACCTTGCCCGTACTGATTCCGTAAATGATGTGTGACGTGTATTTATTTTGTATGTTTAGACAAAACATGTTTATTGATGATAATATCAGATAGTTTAAAATATTCGTACTTTGTTCTGTAGTTTTTATACCTATAAATAACTACTTACTACTGTTACTAATGCTTCTACTATTGGAAACTTAATATTATAAATATGAAAGTGAGTTTATTTCTTTGTTACCCCTTGGCGTTTTAAGAGCTCAACATGTGTCCCGGTTACGCGGACAAAGTCGCGTTTAAAAGCCAGTATTTTTATGTTGTACACAATTCAAATATTTTTGTCTTCGTAGTATAAACATCTCGTCGCAGTGACTATTTTGTTTTGCAACTATTTTGTTTTTACGTCCTATACAATTATTTTAATTATTTATAATATAACTAGCTCTTACCCGTGACCTCGTCCAGGCTATGTTTATTGATCGAGACAAAAAGTAGCCTATATCCTTATCCATCCGATATTCGTACGTGTATACCTAATTTCATAGCGATTGATTGAGCCGTTAAGGCGCTATAAGATAATAAACAAACAAACATACTTTGATTTTTATTCTTGAACATAATAATTTGAAAAAAAAATTATATTAAATATATGTATTTAGGGGGAAAGGGATTGTTAGTGATGGAGACTAAGACTCCCATTGCTAGCAATATACCCCCAACCAGGTCAAACTCCTCGCGGTTCTCCCTTGAAACTATCATGGTTAATTCCTTGTGAATTCATCATGATGGGCTAACTGGCCTGTTTTCATTCTCATCGATCACCCTTCACTGGTGCTCCGCCAGCGTATCCCGTTAGCGCAGGCGGGGTTACCATACCATTATCACCCATAAAAAAAAATTATGTATTTGATTTCCAAGTATTTGTCAGACCACGATATGTGACGATAAAATTATCGTGCCGTGTTACGGCAAATTACATGTCCAATGGGTCGAAGTGCAGTCTGGCAGATATAAATATATAAAGATAAGAATAGATAAATGAGGTCATAGTGTTAAATACTTTACATAAATACCACTTATAAACAGGATAATATGGATAAAATGTGCCTAAATTATCTACGGAAGTGCAAAGTACATTTTTATATCAAAAATGGATATAAATATGAGATCAAAACACCTATTGTTGATGTTTCTAGCGTTTATTGTACTCGTAGTTGTTACCAGTGTTGCCAGCTTAGGTATTTTTCTCGTAATGTTGGGTAAAAATTTAAATTATTTTAGAGACATTTAGGTGATTTTTTTGGTAATTTTGATATTTGTACAACCGACTTCAAGAAGGAGCTTTTCAGTTTGATTGCATTTTTTTTTTTTTATTGTGTGATACTAAAACAAAAATATAGGCAGACAAAAATTAATATTTTGATTTTGTTTAGATAAAAACTAAAAAATATATTGTTTTGGCTTCATCATCATCATTTCAGCTATTTACTGTCCAATGCTGAATGCTCCCTCTCCTCTCAATAAGGAAGGTTTGCCAATAGTTGCCACGATTGGCAGGCGAGTTGGCAACCGCAGTTAGGCTTTTAATGATGTTTTAAGAGGGACGCTGCTGGCCATTCCTCGATCATTGTTTCTTCATTATTAATTACGTCATACGATACCCACGGGAATGGAAGGAGTGGCCCATTCTATGCCGAGACCACATGGTGTTTGGCTTCTATTGCTCTTATTAAAACGGTACATATTATATCTATACTAATATTATATAGCTAAAGAGTTAGTTTGTTTGAACGTGCTAATCTCAGGAACTACTAGTTCGAATTAAAAAATTCTTTTTGTGTTGCATAGACCATTTATCGAGGAAGGCTTTAGGCTATATGACATCACGCTACGACCAATAGGAGCGAAGCATCAGTGAAAAATGTTGCAAAAACGGGGAAAATGATTCATATTTGTGGGCTTCCGTTGCGTACGCTGCGTAAACGGTTCAAGTTACCCAAAAAATATGTATGAAATAATTATTCCCCTTTAAATAATCTAAAAAAATATCCGCGATGTCTATCTTTTAAGATTGACTCATTATGGTAATCAAATTTAGTCGAAATTAATACATTATTGCCAATTATTTGCCAAAGAGTTTTATCAACATAATTTTCGCAGAAGTACTTTAAAACATATTCTTTTAAACTTCTTAATCGCGATCATAATAACAGAAATTGGCGCGGATGAAGTCGCGGGCAACAGCTAGTATATATCATCTAAGTACAGAGACATAGTATAGTTATAATTTATTTATATTAGTAAGAATATGATACTTGAATATGTGTATTGCAATAACTCAGTCCAAGTAATCATCATTCATTACCTATGGAAATATACTGAAGAACAATAACTTACAGTGCTCCCACTAAAACATATGGCAAACATGTGCCGCTAATAAGACGACTGCGAATCCGTCTGTCCGTCACGGAACGTACGAACAAATATGGAGTGTGAATTTAATATTTTGTATGTAAATAATTGTATTGTTATATACTATAAATATATCATATATTTTGATAAAAAAAATTGTTGTGAGTGAGCACGTATGTATGTGTTTTTGTAGATGTTA